TCTGTCTGTCTGTATGTATGTCTGTCTGTCTGTCTCTCTATCTGTCTGTCTCTCTGTCTGTCTGTATGTATGTCTGTCTGTCTGTCTCTCTATCTGTCTGTCTCTCTGTCTGTCTGTCTGTCTGTCTGTCTGCCTGCCTGTCTGTCTGTCTGTCTGTCTGTCTGTCTGTCTGTCCCTCAGGTGTCCCCGGTGGAACTGGAGCGTCTCATGGTTCGTCTCCCCAGCATGTTCCGAGTGGAGCTGAGTGGCGTCGGAGCGACTTTAGAGAAGCGATGGAAGTTCTGCGGCTTCGAAAGCCTCGGGTCAGCGTGACACAGGAAAAACGCACACGTGTGTGTGTGAATGTGTGTGCGGGCGTCCGTCTGTCCTGAATCCTGTTGGATGTATCAGCATGTTGGACACTGAGGAGGAGACAGACTTGGACTCACTGCTGGACTCACTGAGATGGACTCGTTGGGTTCACCTGATCTTCCTCTTGATCCTGGATCCTAGTCCTCGGCAGTCTGGTCTCGGGGACATCTGGATCAGAAAGAGAGAGGAGTTATACCAAAGTTGATCTTTTATACGTTTGGTTTCAGAGAAACAGTTTCCTTTCTCTACAAAATAAGAGCGTCCGTGGCCTCCTTTACCACAAAATAAGAGCGTCCTTCTATTATTGTGTGTTGGACATGTTGAGACCTGATGGACTACGGGACACGTCGTCCCTCTTTGGGACACTCTAGGATTTGTAAACATTGCAGAAAAATTCTTTACAACCATTAAAACATCATATTTAAAAACACAAAGGATCTTCAATAACAAACAAACAATACGAGTAAAAGACCTCAGTCAAATATTAAAAATTCAGACATTTATTACAATTTATTAACAATCAAAAATATATATATTTGATATTACTATTATTATTATTATATTATTAATTATTGGATACTTTTAATAATATAATAATTATTACATTTATTATTATAATTATACTATTAATTATGACATACTTTTAATAATATTATAATAATTATATTTATTATTGTTATTTTATTATTACAATTATTTTATAATTAATAATTAAATAATAATAATACAATATTCATTGATTACAACACAACCCACAAACAGTCCTTGTCGCTGTCCGTGGTGCTGAAGTGACAGATTTTTATATCAGATCTTCATTCTTCTGTTTGTTTGGGATATAAAACATAAAATATTAATAATATATATGAAACATTCAGGCAGTTAAAACTTCAGGAAAAAGTGAATTTCTGCAAATCATTTCATTTTTCTGATCCTTCTGGATTTAAAACCCAACAATCGTCAGCTGATCTGTAAACGACAGATCATGACATACATACAACATGAGCTACATGTTACTATATATCAGTATTACAATCATGACATACATACAACATCTGTATTTAAATATCATTCATGAAAAGTTGAGTGTTGGTCTTTTGGAGTTGGTGTGTAAACACAATATGAGCTCATATGTATGTCTCCCATATGTATCATATGTATGTATTATTATATATTATATATTATGATATACAGAGGACATGTAAGATAATAAAAGAAGATAATTAGACCGACGAGGAGCAAAAATATTTGTTTCCTGCAAAGATCGTGACTTAAAGATGGAAAATGATTACTATTATTGTTATTATTATGGGAATACTGGGCAGGATGAAAATATATGAGTCGTGTTTTTAAAGAATGATGTGAGAGAAGTGAATTAAATCATTCCACCTAATTTACTTCATAATGTTTTATGAAGTTACATCTGTATTTAAATATCAGTGTGAGAGTTAATAACTCTAACGGATCGACGATGACGAAGACGATGAAGGTGCTGAAGATAAGGAGGTTTTGTTGACGTCAGCTTTATGTTTCTGTCACATTATAAAAGATGATTTCTTTAAAGTTAGAGGAGTCTTGTTTGTTTTTCTTAGTTAAATAAAGTTGTTCTCATATTGACTTCATTTATGAGTAAACTGTACTTTAATGTTCTGTTTTAAATACTTTTTACTTGAGTAAATATACAGAAAACCTGAGAGACAAGTGAGAAAAATGAATCGAATGTTTCTCTGCCAACTTTATAACTTAAAAACAGGTGAATTATATTGATCTATTCATTTTGTGTGTTTGTTGTTGTAAAACTCTTTTCAGCCACAAGAGGCCGCACCACTTCCTCATATTTTAATTGTGATTAAAATAATTCATGTTTTTATTTCAGCTGAGTTTTATTTACATAACTTACTAAAAAAAACATATGAACCATGTGTTCAGAGTATATGGGGAAATGTCTTAAATCATAAACACAGAAAACATCTGAGATCAGATTCATTTAAACCTGTTTCACTTTTATTGATTTATTTTTCTTCTGTTTTTCATGGTGTTTAAAGGCTGACTCCTTTCATCGTCATCCTCATCGTCATCCTCATCGTCATCCTCATCATCATCGTTATCGTCATCGCCACCATCCTCATCGTCCTCGTCGTCATCGCCATAGTCCTCATCGTCATCGTCGTCCTCATCGTCATCGCCATAGTCCTCATCGTCATCGTCGTCCTCATCCTCATCATCCTCATCGTCGTCCTCATCATCCTCATCCTCATCATTATCATCATCATCCTCATCATCGTCATCATCCTCATCATCATCATCATTATCATCGTCATCGTCATTGCCACCATCCTCGTCATCATCCTCATCATCGTCATCGTCATCATCCTCGTCATCGCCATCATCATCATCCTCATCGCCATCAT